TGTTAGGAGAGATAGAGAAGGGGAGAGCAAAGGCAGATCAGGTAAGGCCTTTATAAGGACTTCAGGTTGTAACTGGAGTGAAATGAGAAACAATTAGAAGATTCTGAACAGAAGTTAAATAACCTAGAAGAATCTGCAGTATGTGAAACATCTAAATGACGAGTGGTAGCCATGGAAACAATTAGTCCACAAATATCGACTGAATTCATACTGTTTACTAGGATTTCCCTAAGCAGTGGGCATATAGTGGTAAATAAAACAGGCATCAGTTCTTGTTCTCATGAAGCTTTAATTTTGTGGGTAAGAATATTAACAAATGGCCTGGCTATTGTGGCTCAGTAGTTGAGCATCAACCCATGAACCAAGAGGTCACTGGTTTGATTCCCAGTCAGGGCACATGCCAGGGTTTTAGACTCGATCCTCGGTTAGGGGGGCATGCAGGAGGCAGCCAATTAATGATGTTTCTCTCATCAATGTTTTCATCTTTCTCTCCCTAAAATCAATAAAAACATGTGTGTGTGTTTTTAAGAAATTAACAAATGATTAAGCAAATAATTACAACCATGCCAGGTGTGAGATGAACTGGGTGACTTATGACAGAATGAGGAAAAACACTCTACTCTAGTCTGGGCTGTGGGGGAAGGCCTTTGAGGAAAAAAATATTTAAGGTGAGATTGGTAATATGAGGAGTGAATTAAGTGAAGAGGTATAAAAAGGACAAGAGCATTCCAAGCAGCAAGTATCTGCAAAAATCCCTGAAGAAAAAACAAATGGCACCTTCAGGGAATTGGAAGGCCATTGTGGTTGGAGTTAACTAGGCAAAGAAGAATGAATGGAGATTTTAGGTTGAATTCTAAACAGGAGACCAAAAAGATGAGAGTTGTGTGCTATAAAGATGACTCTAAAAACAATGAGATTAGAAGAGAGAAGAGTGAATTCAGGAGACCAGTTAAGAGATATTGCAGAAGTGTAGACATGATGGTGATATCATAAGTGTAGTGAGAACAGAGAGATGGATAGGTTGAAAGAAATTCAGGAGGTAGAAAAGATAATTTAATGATGAATTAGATTTATGAGGGTGGAAGAAGGTCAAAGAGGCTGAGGCTACCTACCTACTTTTCTTAACCTTTTCTTGTGGGCAAATCCTACCTTTTCCATGGAGAAAAGATAAATTTCAATGTGATTCTTTTGGGAGGGCCAACAAAATGCTGGTCATCCTATATAATAAAAGGGTAATATGCAAATAGACTGAATGGCAGAACAATCGAACAACCAATCAAAGCGTAATAAGCTAACGATATGCTAAGGTTGCTCAACTGCTCGCTATGATGTGCACTGACCACCAGGGGGCAAATGCTCCAACTGGCTCTGGGGTCTGGCTGATGGGGACTGAGCAAGATGGGCCGGACACGCCCTAGCGCCCTCCTGCGGTCCCTCCCAGGCCCAATCCCCGGCAAGATTGTGCAGCGGTGGGGGGGTCCCTCAGTCTGGCCAGCACCCTCTCACAATCCACAATCCGAGACCCTTGGGGGATGTCGAAGAACCAGTTTCAGCCTGATCCTGCAGGCCACTCCCCTTGGGAGGGTGCCAGATGCAGGGCTCATGGCTGGTGAGTGCTGCTGCTGCAGCAGCGTGAGCCTCTGCAGGCACAGTGGGGCCGGGATGAGCAGGAGCGGCAGGTAGGAGCTGCAGGCAGGGTTGGACTGCAGGTTTTGGCTGGATCCCTGCAGGCCACCCAGAGGGACCCCACCTGTGCACAAATTCATGCACCAAGCCTCTAGTACAGTGGTACTCAACCTGTGGGTCGCGACCCCTTTGGGGGTCAAATGACCCTTTCACAGGGGTTGCTTAAGACCATCGGAAAACACATATATAATTACATATTGTTTTTGTGATTAATCACTATGCTTTAATTATGTTCAATTTGTAATAATGAAATTGGGGGTCACCACAACATGAGGAACTGTATTAAAGGGTCGCGGCATTAGGAAGGTTGAGAACCACTGCTCTAGTATATAATAATGAACCTTTATGCTACTAAAGAGTCTCAATTTGCACAATCTATGCAATTTGTTCTGTTTCTACCAATGCATGAAGTTTGGCTATGACTGTTCAGAAAAATAAAGAACTTGGATTCTACATTTCAAATCATCTGATAAATATTCATGTCGCTAGGATTATATATATTTATATAATTTGTAAAGAAAAAAATTTTTCTGCTCTAATATTCCATCCAAACTTAAATAAATATTTCCAGGGCACCAAATGTAATTTTTCAGTACACTAAAGAATAAGTTCTTCACCAAGAATTGGAATATACAACCCTTCGAAGAAAAAGCCATTCCCTATTGTTGTTCATAGGAACTACAAAAGTCCTATGCTATTACCAAATAAGGTTATACCTATGCTATAACCCAGGGGTCCTCAAACTACGGCCCGCGGGCCACATGCGGCCCACTGAAAGCATTCATCCGGCCCGCCGGGTGTTTTTGCCTGTCCTGCTTAGCGGCCGACTCGTCCCGGGCCCGCAGTGCGCATGTGTGGAATGTCTGAGGGACAGTGAACTGGCCTGGCCCCCTGTTTAAAAAGGTTGAGGACCTCTGCTATAACCAATGCTATTACCAAAAAGGTGGATATCTGTTTTTAGAGAAACAGTTGAATAAGTTATTCAGTGACTTATTTATTTTAAATCATAAAGACACATTTAGTTATTCAGAGAGAAAAAATGGCATTTTCTCTTCTAGAGAGGCTCTTAGTCATAGGAATTATATTCTCTGTAGCCTATCTTCCAGGGATCCTCAAACAATGCTAAGCTAAGTGGGAGTGTTTTGTTTGCCATTAGGCCAGAAAAATAAAAGTAACAAAATCCTATATAATAAAATCATAATATGTACATCAACCAAATAGCAGAATGACTGGAGGAGTAACCAGATGCTATGATGCACAATGACCACCAGGGGGCAGGCACTCAACGCAGGAGCTGCATTGAGCACCCCCCCCCCACCCCCCCACCCCCCCCACCCCCGCCCAAGAGGGAGGCAATCTGCTGCAGCCATCAGGGGATGGGGTTGGCCATCAGGTGGCACCAGGCTGCCAGCCAAGGCAGATGCCAGCAGAGCCTCCCGATCGCCCTGCCCACTGGTTGCCCCACAGATGGTCCTGATTGCCGGCTAGGCCTAGGGACCCTACCCTATATATTGGGAACAGTCTCTTAGATTTAAAAATTAAAAGTTGGCAAGGCTACTCTAACACTGAAAAAACAGGATGATGCAGCAATGACATGCATGGACTCTGGCTTGCACACTGTGGTCAACCCTGATTCTGACACTTATAACTATGTGACAAAGCCAATTACTTAACTTCTCTCTGCTTCAGTTTTTCCACCCATAAGATGGGGAAAATGGTACTACTACCTCAGAAGGATCATGTTATGTACTACTTTTTAGGGCAAAAAAATGTAGCTGCCCATACAACAGCAAGATGCTTTTCATCTGTATCATCTGTATGAAAAGTATGGTCACTGGTGCATGCAGCGTCCCAGATTGCAAGAAGGATGTCCGACTGCCGGTTTAGGCCCAACATCCCCCGAGAGGTCCCAGATTGCGAGAGGACACAGGCCGGGCTGAGGGACCCCCCATCTCCCATGCATGAACTTTGTGTACTGGGCCTCTAGTATTTAAAGGAAAAACATCCTATATAACAAAACCTAATATGCTAAGTGTCTGGTCGGCTATTCAACCAATCAAAGTGTAATATGCTAATGATATCCTAAGGCTGCTCAACTTCTCGCTATGGCATGCACTGACCACCAGGGGGCAGATGCTCTGACCGATAGGTTAGCTTGCTGCTGGGGTCCAGCTGATCAGGCCTGAGCGAAATGGGCCGGACACATCCTGGAGCCCTCCTATGGCCCCTCCCTCCCCAGCCCCGATAGTGCACTGGTGGGGGTCCCTCGGCCTGGCCTGTGCACTCTCACAATCCAGAACCCCTTGGGGGATGTTGGAGAGCCGGTTTTTTGGCTCGATCCCGCAGGGCAGAGGGACCCCACTGGTGCATGAATTTGTGCACTGGGCCTCTAGTTTCATATAATGTTTCTACTAGTATGAGGTTGAACCAATATTAAATGTTATTAACAGTCTGGGTGTCAGAGTAAACGATATTAGAATGTTATATAAAATACCCAGAAAACCTATAGGCTTTCTCTGTACTCTAAATTTTTTTGTTAAATATCCCATTAATTTCACCAAGTCAAACTTGATATTGTTTTTTGTTTGTTTGTTTGTTTTTAAATATATTTTATTGATTTTTACAGAGAGGAAGGGAGAGGGATAGAGAGTTAGAAACATCAATGAGAGAGAAACATCGATCAGCTGCCTCCTGCACACTCCCCACTGGGTATGTGCCCGCAACCAAGGTACATGCCCTTGACCAGAATCGAACCTGGGACCCTTGAGTCCACAGGCCAATGCTCTATCCACTGAGCCAAACCAGTTAGGGCAAACTTGATATTGTTAATTCTTTTATTACAAGCAGTATGAAGTGAAAAGAAACAGCCTCCTAGGAATCCAAATGTGTAGAAAGGCATTAGTACTAAAATGATACTCCTAGAAAAGCAATTGCAACTCATAGGAAAAATGCATTTTATTTAACAACCAAGTACACAAATACACACATACACATATACAACTAAAACACTATTAAACACTATTGATTATTACCAGGTGAGATGCACTGTGAAATTTTCTGCTTTATGTTCATTCATTTTTTTAAAAAATGTGGGTCACTCAGCAGTGTAGCTCAGTGGTTGTTGACTGAACCAGGAGGTCATGGTTTGATTCCTGGTCAGGGTGCATGCCCTGATTGTGGGCTCGATCCCTGGTAGGAGGCAGGAGGCTGCCAATCAATGGTTCTCTCTCATCATTCATGTTTCTATCTCTCTCTCTCCTTTTCCCTTCCTCTCTGAAATAAATAAAAATATTAAAAAATAAGTAAATAAAATGTTTAAATAAAAAAATATTTTTAATGTGGGTCACAGCTTAGTAACAAATTTTGCAAACCACAAATATGTTACAAGACATAACAGCTCTAGAACATTATCAATGCTAACTTATAATTTTAGGGCTATTTATAGTTGTCCTCCTTCTTAGAATTAGCCCCTAAGAGAACTCTATGTATTCAGAGAAAACAAAAATCAACACAGCCTTGTTACCACATATCCAGCCTGGACATAGTGCCTTCAGTGTGCTTAAATCACCTACCTTCCCAGGTCCAAAAGCTGAGGGGATGACTTGCAAGTATGTCTATATTGCACATTTTATCTAACAGTCCTTCTTATGCACACAACTTCAGTTAATCCTCACAACAACCCTGTGAGGTAGGCAGGGAAAATACTATCAGATTTACTTTTCAGATGAACTTAAGGCTCAGAGCAGTTAAGTGATTTTCCCATTTAGAAGAGGCAGAGAGAATAAGAACCATCAACTTTCAGGCTGAGGCTCTTTTCTCTAAACCACATAGTCTCAGAGAGTATAATCTGACCTCAAATATTTTTACTACTTCGTCCTCCTTTTCTTATTGTTAACTCAAGTTTTTATAGGCCACAACAAAAGATGTGATTCTAAACTGATCCTGCCAAGTTTATACTTCTCTAGCAATGAAAATTTATGATCACAGGATATATATTCTCCCGGAAAGCACTGTTTCCTTGGCTCTAGGCAAAGGAACATAAGCAATATGAAAGACCCTACAGTGAAGGGAATTGGAGCGATCAGAGAAAAGGGTGTACAATGGAATGTACTAATGGATTTTAGTCCCTTCACACTTTTAATTTTGTGACAGAGTTCAATGGAGAGCTTTAATGCAGATGAAACTTGAGACTTTTGAAGAGGATCTAAGTCTTGATGAAGTTATTCAAACTGAAATCTTGAATGCATAATGATGGTAGGCCTCAGGGTCTTCAAAAACTTGTACTTGATGCTTTAAAACAAAACAAAACAAACACACACAAATTCTACTAGCAAATCTAATAAAATTGCTTAAAGGATTTTGAAAAGCTATAACTCTTTGACCAGTAATTAATCAGAACACTAGATACCATGATGAAAGAACAAAAAGAACATAAAGAGATTTTAAAAGACTATAGTGTACAGAATAGCTTAATATGTCCATTGACTTATCTATTTGATTAATATTCTTCACTTTAAATTGAAACAAAATTTAAAGTTCTTACTGAACCACGTTGGGCCGTAGTAAAATAAATTGATTTAATGATTATTTCCTGAATCACTATCCATGACATCTGATTGTCTTAAAGGGTTTTTGGTCTTTGAAAGCCTGGCCAAAACATTTGTTGGAAAAGATGAAATAAAATGAAATTGATTTCATGGGGTAAAGAGATTGAACTAGGAATATTATGGTTTGGAAATATTTAAGCAGGGAGGAAAAGTAACAAAGCCTTAAGAATGAAAAAATTCAGAACACTCTGCAGGTTCAAATGAATAACATATCATAAATCTTCCTGACTACTTTTGTGCTATTTCTAACTTGCTTCTTTTTAATTTATGTGCTCCTATCAACCTGCCTTTTCCTCCCAAGAAAACCTTAAGGTTTTAAAAATTAATGATAAAAATAGCAAGTAATATTTACTGAGTCTATACTTTATGCCAGGCACTGCTCTTCATACTTTATATAAATTCACTTAGTCCTTACAGCAGCCCCATGAATGAGATACTACTATAACCCCCAATTTACAGATGAAGGAATTGAAGCCACAGAGAAGAAATGGAGGTAGTTTATCCAGCTGAGAAATAGTGGGGTTAGGGTTTAAACTCAGGTCTTCCAGCTCCAGAACACCAAGTTACATCCAATGCTCTACAAAACTGGTTTTCATGAAAGAAAACTGATCAGGACTAAGGTTTCCTGCAAATCAGCATTGTGCCCTGTAACCATCTTTCACTGCATATATTCTGATTAGAATGTGTATTGACTAATTTAAGTTTCCCAACAGTAGTTTCAACAATCACTTCTCAGAAGTGCCATCCTGTCAAAGCAGTTTTAAAATAAAGCATGCCACTAAAATATTGACAGTAGTAGAAAAATACAGGCGACTTTACTCCTTTTATCTTTTTGGTGATATACATATCTTAATATCTCCCCCCCCCATATATATATGGATTACCTGTACAATTAAAACATTCAAAGTAGAGTGAGCTTTATGGTAATAATGAAATAATAATAGTTATTACTTATCACCTAATATAGGCAAATCTACCTTCATTATCTTTATTCTTGAGTAAATTCCTATTTTCCAGATGAGATTGAAGTTTGGAATGAATAATAAACTTAATTTATAGAACATGTAATAGATCCTGGGGGCCATATTCAAACCTGTCTTTACTAGTCTAGAATCCATATTCTTTCTACTCTACTAAAGGCCTGGTGCACAAAATTCGTGCACAGGGGTGGGGGTGGGGGCGTCCCTCAGCCCAGCCTGCACCCACTCGAAATCCTGGATCCCTCAGGGGATGTCCAACTGCTGGTTTAGGCCTGATCCACAGGACATCTCTCTCGCAATCCGGGACCACTGGCCCCTAACCGCTTGCCTGCCTGCCTGATCGCCCCTAATAACTTGCCTGCCTGCCTGATCACCCCTAACCACTTTGTCTGCCTTCCTGATCGCCCCTAACTGCCCCTGCCTGCCTGATCGCCCCTAACCGCCTCTACCTCCCTGATTGCCCCAACCACTCGCCTGCCTGCCTGATTGCCCCTAACTGCCTCTGCCTACCTGATCGCCCCTAAGCACTCTGCCTGACTCATCGCCCCTAACTGCCTCTGCCTGCCTGATCTCCCCTAACCACTCTGCCTGCCTCTCTGATCGCCCCTAACTGCTTGCCTGCCTGCCTGATCGCTTCTAACTACTTGCTGGGGGGCTGCTGGCCAGGGTGAGGGGCCGTGGTCATTCTGGTCTCTGGTCATTCCACCATTTCAGTTGCTGGGCTTTTATTATATAGGATAATGCAGCCCCTGCAAATGCCAAATATCTGTCTTTTGTTATTAAACACACTGAAAAGATCTTTCTAAGATGTTATAATTTTCTTAAATAGAAAATGCTGAACATAACTTATTTAAGTTCAAACTTATCATTTTGAATATCCATTAACATAGAGCTATTTTCATCTAGTCAAATAAGCCTGGGTTATTACAATTTTAAAATGAGTTGGTTTGCTTTCTGATTATCTTCTTGCCCTTGCTTGTCAACGTGCTTGTCTCTAATAGGAGCACTTGGCACAGCAACAATTTGCTGCTTCTAATACACTGTGAAGTTAGGTGCCAGTTAATTAAGCCTGTTAGAACTATGTCTAAGTAAATAAACTGAGTAAGGACCTGAGAAAAGTATATAGTGTGTGTCTTATATTTGGGGTTAATTTTTAAATTTATTTCCTGCTTATGGGTAAGTGGAGCTTGGTGGAAAAATGACCAGGGATAAGTTACCTATCAGTATTTAAATATAGAGATAATAGATATTTGTGCTATTTTTAAAAATCACTTTATTGCACCATAAAAAAAAAATCTTAGGTTTGAAAGCAACTTTCATTATCAATCTAGTACGATCTCCCATACATTGAGAAATCCCCTCCGCAACATTGCTGATGTTCAAACCTCGCTTAAGCAACCCTAATGACCTGCAGTTCACTGCCTCTTGACACAATCTGCTCCACTGTTGACAAACTCTATACCTTCTCTCAGCTAGAATTAATTTTGGCCTCAACAGAAACAAATGTACTCCCTATGAAGTTTCTCCAACTCTTCTAAAGTCTTCTATTTTCTGAACAAAATAGTCCCAGTCCCCTCAATCTAGATCATCACAGTTGCCCTTTCATTTAGTCACAAAAATGATTAAAACAATTCTCTTTTCCTTCAAGGTTTACCAAACAATGAAACCAATTTTTAGACATTCATGTTTTGTAGGTTAACAGATCTAGTTAATCCATCTTGGTCATACACAATTGGAATACTAGGAAAGACTTACGGACATAGCTCGAATTCTAACTGAACAGCAATAAATTTTTGAGTTCTTCCTTCTTGCCATCCCTCCCGCCCAAATACCACAAACAGAATCTTAAAGATACCCTTAACTATAACTTAGTGCTAGATTTAAATGTTCTCACTCTTAGGCTTTTATCTACCTTCCCATCACTTATTTCCTGTAATGATACTAAAACAGACAAAATTCTTCAAGCTACTTTCACAATCATGAGCTAGCCTATGACAGGCCCAGCTCTGAGGCCTTAAAATTCTGACCTTTTTTTCCCTTTTGGATTAATTGAGTATCTTCCTAGAATTTTTTGTTTTCCAGAAGAAATTTTTAAATAGTTTATGTGTAAAATAACATATACACGTTTTATATACACAATGTATTATATATCTATGTAAATAGACCCGCATATATGTATGCATAAACATATATATACATGTATCTTCCCCATTTCTATGTTATCTACATGTTAAGTTTTACCTTCATGCTCAGCTCCTTTTTTTCCTATATGTTACATTTATCATATTCATCAAGACCCAGAAAACACAATCAACCCTTGGATTCAATTCCTTGCTATCCATTCTGTTAGCAAGAATAAGGAGGAGTCCCACTCTAAGCATTCTGCCCAATGATTTTTCACTGTGTGGCTAGTTGTGATTAAACCCAAGGATCTCAAGAAGCAAAGCAAAGCATCATTTAATTGCAATGATTATAAGAAAAATACTCTGTCAAACTATGGTATAAAACACCTGACATACCATACTGTCCTATTCCATGAATCATGATGCAGTCCCTAGATTAGTGGCCTTCATTTTGATTTTTAACAAGTTACACAATCTGTGGTATCATATGGGTAGGTATCTTACAAAGCTCATTCTCAGCAGATCACAAATGAAATGAAGATTACTATATCTTTAAATTTCTTGTTAACTCATTTTACTCACCTATTACTATTATTCCAAAGTTCCCACAGTGAAAGTGTGGAAAGACAAAGATGGCTGGAGAAGTGAAAGTCACCAGAAATTTTGCTGCATCCCAAAGCAAATCATCAGCCAATTCAAAGTAGTATCATCAGTACAGAATAAGACTATCCATATATATCTAAATTATCTTTCTAGTTTATGATTTTACTAACAGAGAGAACAAGCTATTCTTTGAAATGCCTTAGGCCATTTCTAAAAATTAAAACAAAGTGAAATAATAACTAAGATCTATTTAAAGAGTAGAGTACCTAAATAGCAATTTGAATAAAACAATGCCCATCCCATTCACTAATGAGAAGCTCATTGGCAAGAACCTGGCCAATGCAATACAAACTTAGCTTGCAAATGAAAGTATCATCCGCATCACCGCATGAAGTCAGCAGCATGCTATAAACTATATAGCTGTATTGAATTCGCCAATACTAAGCACTTAGTTCATCACAAATCCTTATTAAGAGTAATAATCTAATGTCAAGGTTAAAAACCTATTATATCACCAAACCTTCCATGCTGCTCTGTAAAAAAAACTTACCTCACTTATGCAACTCCATTCCTCTGACTAGTGCACGTAATTATAAGGGCAAAAGTCATAAGGAATAGTAGTAGGCTCCCTTAATTATGAAACCAGTCTAAAGCTTTGCTGTTTGTTCATTTCTTAGTATTGTAAAAATGAAATCATGTTCACATAAAAAAAATTAATCCACCAGAAAGAGTATACAGAAAAATGAGTCTTCCTATTCTAGACCTGTAGTCTCATTCCTCAGGAGTACCTGTGTCAATCATGTATCTATCTATCTATCTATCTATCTATCTGAATAAATATAACATAATAGTGTATTATATAGATTTAAAGAAATTTTGCATGCATATATAAATGTATGCTTTTGAAAACATACTGTACATACAGTTCTATATTGTTTTTCTCAGTTAACAATGTATGTCACAGAGATTTTTCCATATTTCCACCTATGGATCTGCTTCATTCTTTCTAAGAGTTGCAAAGTACTATATTACATTAAGGCATTTATTCAATCATACCTTGGTGGGGGATGTTTAGGCTACTTGTAGTTTTTACTTATTTATTTGTTTGCCTATTTAAAATAATAATATGATGAATATCTTTATATACAAATTTTTGTGTGCAAGTACAAATATATCCAAAAGATGAATTCCTGGAACTACTGTCTGATTTTAGAATTTAACAATTTCTAAATAAGAAGCCAGTGTATCTACAAAGGAGATAAGGAAAACCACAAGTTTAAAGCTTAGTGATTAAAAGTTGCCAAACAAAATTAGAAGTTAAGGTTGTAAAAATTAACAAATTAATTAAGCTAGGAAAGGTAAAAAAGAAAAAGAGAGAAAATTTATCCCCTGGGATAGAAAGATAAAAGGCCCGGAGAATGAATCATCTGAGAGATTTTCTGAAAAGAAGAACAAAAAAGAAAATAGCATTTTCTAAGATATGCCTAAGATTAAGGCATAAAACTGTCCAGAAGATATGAGACTTATATTATTCTAGAACCAAAGTTGATGTAAGATTTTTTAAATGACTATTTGAGGCCTCATTGCTATAGGGTACCCATAGGTTGACAAGACTCTACCAGACTACCAGTGTTGAAAAAAGCTCTCAAAAAAAAGAAAAAAGAAAAAGAAAAAAAAAAAGGGGGGAAAGAAATAAAGAAAAGAAAAGTAGTAATCTTTCAGGAACAATATAGAGGGAAATAGTAAGGACTGCTTCATAAACACAGAGTAAACTTCTCTTTGGAAGGTCCACATTAAAACTTAAACAGATTCAGCCTATATTTTTCAATCACAATCCCATAATTTCTTATTCCAATCCAGCGCTATTCTCTCATTAAAATAAAACACAGCCAATAACTTACCTTTCCCAAAGTACTAGGATTTGAATGCCACAATACAAAATGACTCATGTTTTTGTCCGTTAATGGTCCGTGGATTTCTTTAAATGAAGTCCATGTTAGAGTCCATGGAGACCAGTGTTCTGCAAAACTGAAAACCTCAAGAATGTCAATGCACAAACCTAAGTCACCACTTGGATACCAATTTATTATGAATACTAGTTACAACAGTTACCATTATGAACACAGACATTTAGATGTGCAAAGTAAGTGGATATGACATTGAACAGCAGATTGATGAAGCAAAATTAAACTTTATTTTTAAGTAAGACATTAATATTCAAGTAAATCTAGAGGGTCTCAAAACCTAACTTTGTACCATATTTATATACATTGAAAAGTTGACAGCAAAGCAACAACATACAATGATGGGGGTGATTTGGATACCAACACTTTCCAGACATTGGGAAAACAAGTTTGAAAGGCAGGCAAACTTTTAGAATTTAAATGACTGCAATATTTATTTACATGTCTACTTCTTTTTTCCCCCCAACCTATTTTTAAGAACATCTTAGATTTTTTTTAAATCTAAAAATGCTTAATACTTTCTTTTTTGTAAAAAACACACACAAAAGCAACAAAACAAAAACAAAAACAAAGCCATAAATTCAGGTTTGCCTACTGCATCATATCCAATCTAATAATAAGATCTAGAACCTCCTGGGACTGCAGCTAGATAGTGATTCATGCTCATATCCCATTACACAGCCTGACAACCAACACCAATCTGGGTACAGTACTTGTTCTTTAGATCTATTCCCACTTTTCATCACAGTTAAGACATCAGAACAAATAGTTTACAAAGGAAACAATTTAATCTTCTGCGATTTATTCTCTACGAGGCTTCCTACAACTGTTTGGAAGGAGTTAACCTTATGTGAACCTACCAGGTGAAATCTCTGACTGGATTTTCATAAATTATTACTTTCATCTTGGTTATGAAATAATTCCTATTTACATCTCAAACGAAAAGGTACCCCAATATAAAAAAGAAAATATTAAGAAAAAGGAAAATGAGTTCATATTCATGAGAAGAAAGCACTCAGAACGCAAATTAGAAGCTCAGTGCTATAAGCTGCAGCTTCTCATTTGATGGCCAACTCCTCCCCGGTATCATTCATCGGGGAGTTCTTTCCAGAAAAGTGAAGAAACCTGAAAGAAGTCAAATTAATCGCCTTCTCTTCCCATGCCAAAAAAAAAAATAAATAAAATAAAATAATAAATACAATAAAACAAATTAAATAAAATAATAATAAAATAAAATAAATATGAAGGCACATTTCTAAATTTCAATAACCACAAAACAATGTCCGGAAGGTCTACCACACCGACATCCGCATAAACCACTGGTGAACGAACCACGCTGGAGTCACGTCTACATTCGGAGGCAGGGGCACTACAATTCGGGACAAGGTCCCCCCCGACGCTGCCCGCACCCCCCACCCCCGGTGCGGCACCCAGCTTCGTGCGTTCATCAGTCCCTATTCCACGGCATCTGAAGGATGCCCATAGTGGCAAAGCACGGGATGCAGAGATGAAAGGGCAAGTCCCCGCCCGCTGTAGCCCAGCTGCACTGGGCTCAGTGCAGGCGGCAACTGAACTCCAGCTCAGCGCACCTCAGCGCCCAGGCTCCATCTCTCCATCCCCGAGCGCCCACGACCCGCAGCCGTGACCGAGTCCTGGAGACTCAGTCGGTATTTCCTCGGCGACCTCGGCCCTCACGACCCCGTCCCCAAAGTTTCTCGTATCCCCATCACCCTAGGAGTCCCACGCCCAGGAGCCTGTCCCCCGGCCACCCCCTCACGTGAGATCCACTTCCCCCGGCCCGAGCGTGGGGCCCCGAGCAAACTGGGCCACTAACCCTGACCCCGAGCCTCGCCAGGGTCCAGGTTCTGCCAGCAGGTTACCTGTCGGGGATCCAGGGTTCCTGGAGGACCCGCGAAGCTCCTCCCCGCCCATCGCGACGCCCCTCACACCCGGCACCGCCTCCGGGGCGGGACTTCCGCTGCCTCACTTCCGGCCGGTGGTCCGCAGGCCGCTGTACCGCTGAGCGCCCAGCCTCTCTATTGATGTCATTTCCGACCGGTTCCTGGGTCCCCGGGATCCGGGGGCTCCGCAGGTGTCATTCACCGGCTCTTTCCCGCCTGCTTTCCTAATCGCCGCTGAGTAATGCAGCCCCGAGAAGCGCCTTTTGGTTTTTCAAACTCCTGTGCCAACTTCTGCAGCCTTCTCGTCAGCAGACCCTTGCCTCTGCCCCTTCTGTACCTTGAACCCATCACTCCTCCAAACTCGTCCGTTCCCTCGGGGAAATCACCAGGTTGTTCTTGGGATTCATCTGGTTTTTCCGATTCTGTCCGGTGGAGCGCGGTGCCGAACCTGCCTCTCAGGGGTAACGGGTTACGTAAGCTCCGCGCCTGTGTCCTCCAGTGTGGAGCAGGTAACGCTGCTGGAGGACACGGGGTTGGGGGGTGTTACTTGAGACTTAACACGTGGAACGCGGAGGCACAAGGAAAGCATTCAAGCGTTAACTATTACAAGAGCTCTCTTGTTCCCTGTTGGACCATGTAAGTGATAAGGAAGGCAGGAACCCGTGTTCCTGTTCCCCTTTCTACAGCTTTTACTGAAGTGATTACTTAATGATGCTTAGCACTTTCCCCCTTAAATTGTGAGCTCCTCCGGACAAAGATGGTATTTTTTTTTTTTTTTTATCCTCACCCGAGGATTTTTTTTTTCTTCCATTGATTTTTCAGAGAGAGTGGAAGGGAGAGAGAGAAACATCCTTGTGAGACACACGATTGATTGCCTCCCACACGCGCCTGGACTAGGCGGGATGGAACCTGCAACCCAGGTACACGCTCTTGACCTGAATCCGCTCTAACCACCTGCCAGGGCCAAAGATGGTATCTTAATAGGAACTAACTTCAGCCCTAATCGAAATCACCTGCTTGGTTATTGTGCTAGAGATACTGGGGGAAAGATGAATAAAACCCAGACCCTGTCCTCAAAAGCATGAAGATACTTAATAAATTATGGACAGAAGAAAGTCAACCCAGGAAAAAACAGGAGGGAACAGCTGAGTTGAAGATTCATCCTTAGAACAAAAGCAAACAAAACAAAAAAAATCAAAGAATGTTAGAACTGAAAATTTTTTTAGAGATAATAATTTAGTTAACCTCTTGATGTTACAAGTAAAGAAAGTTGGATCCAGAGAAGCAAGAGATTAAAGGCCATATAATTAGTGGCAGGGTTAGGCCCAGAGGTGAAGTCTCCAAATGCTCACCACCTCCCCAACCCCCCAAATTTGTCTCAAGATGTTAATAAGGTAAAAGCAGATCCACCTTCAAGACCTTCACTTGCAGGTAAAAAAAAAAGAGTAGGAAAATTCCAGTCCAGAAGAGACAAGAGCAATGTAACCTAGTAGATAACTACACAATTATGATCATCATTTTGTTTAAAATAATATAAATGTAGCCACTTTAAAATGGAGCCAGAGCAGCCATCCAGAGGAATTGCCTTGTACATCTTAAGCCTCAAACCTTTGGAATGTTAAAACAGGGCAAAATAACCTTTGGACCGGGCCTAAATCAACATTGTGTCCCAAAGAACTGTCTGCAAACATCACAAGAAAACAGATATTATGACGACTGGACTGAAAATTAAAAATATTTTTTTTTTAATTTGCATCACTATGTTAGCTTTTTGCACCAATAGAAATGCCTTCCTTTTATGGATGTAATTTCCCTCTTTTCCTTTCCATAAATACCCTTTGCCTTTGTATTCTAATTGGAACACTATTTGGTTTTCTGCCTGAGTCAGCGATTCCCCAAAAAGCGATTGTTTTCTATCTCAAATAAATGCTTGTTGCCTCTCACTTCAAAAAATCTTCTATTATTTGGTTAACCATTTGAACGATCTGGTCCGGACACTGTTGGGTTCATTTCTCACACAGTAGTCCCCTCTCTCCTGGCAAACTTCTTACATTTACCCAGAAATGAGGGGTTAAGTATCAGCTCCTATGAGCTCTACCTGATACAAGCAGTTCCTGAAGATAAACATAAAGACATGTGAACGGTAAACATAAAGGCACTGCCCATGACATTGTGCAATTTTTTTTTTTTTTTTTTTTGGTCAATCCTCACCCGAGGATATTTAACCATTAATTTTTAGAGAGAGTGGAAGGAACGGAGGGCGGGATGCAGGGAAGAGACGCATCCATTAGTTGCCTCCCACACATGCCCCAAAGGCCCAGGATAGAACCAGCAACCAAGTACATGCCCTTGACCAGGAATGGAGCTCTTGACCCTTTGTGCAGTGACCCCCCCCATACTCTAACCACTGAGCACCACCAGCATGTTAGCATCTGCTAAACTGGCTTGCCACACTTAGATTCGCCCATACGAGCCCAGAATAGACTCAGGCAGTTTATTATTTACACATACAGCGACAGAAAGATCAGCATGGTATCAGCTCCCTGTGTACCTAGCTAGTCCCACCGGTGGATAGCAAACAGGAGGGTTAAATGACAGATGACGGGAACCGTGGATCCTTGTGTTGTGGAGGAGCAAGGCGGGGTCAGCACTTGCAGGAACCTGAGAGTGAGCGCCCTCTTAAACTTTAAATTTTACAGAGGGTTGCCCGAGGGGCAGAATAGGGGTAGTGGGTAGTCCCAAAGCAGAAAGTTCTGTGTTCAGCGGAAACTAGGGAGACATGAGCAATGACTTGTGTCTGACTCCTCCAAGTGGGCCAGGGGATGGCAAACCTCGACTCGCTGGCAATTCCACCCATTTTCCATCGTCCTCCCCAGCCGACTTGGGGGTAGGAGCAGGTAGCGGAGCCAATACAGAGAAAGAGGGGATGAGCGTTTGCAGAGCTTGGGGCTGGGGTTCGGGAAGCGGGGGGAGAGCCGCGACGGGGGATGGGCGTCGGTAGGTTGGGAGCCGCCGGGCGGCGGGAGGCGGCGCCGCGCTCGCATTGGCCCAGCGGGCGCCCCTCCTCGCGGGGGCCGGGCGCGCGGGGAAAGAAGCGCTGACTGCGGTGGGAGGCGGCGGCGACCCTGGCACCGAGGAAGCATGGCTGAGTATTCGCGGTTGCGGAGCTGCCTGGCGCTGATTCGCCTCCGAAACCCGCCGCTCAACCCAATCAGGTAACGGGCTCGGGTCGCCTCCAGAATGGGTTCGGCGAGGCTGGCCTCGCCGGCCTGCGGTGCGGGCTCTGACTCGCCCCGGCTGATCTGAGAAAGACCCAAATAGAACGCGGACGTATGCCAGGGCCTTTTATATAGGTTGCCTTGGTTAATCTTCGCAGAGAACTCCCGTTCCCGTTTCACTGGGAAGGAAAGGAAGGAAACCGAGGCTGAGAGGCAGGCAGATGGCTACGAAGTAGGGGAGCTGGACGGGAACCCGTCTGCTTATGCCAACTTCGTGCTGAGCGCTCTTCCTTGCCTGCAACTTTGACTCCGCAGGCCTGCTTTCTATTCCAAAGGTCTTCGTTCAAAGCTGGCTGGACCTTGATCCCTCACTTCCCAATCTCCAGTCGAGGCCACCCACTAAAAGCGTTAGGAATCCGGCAATGTGGCTTCACCTCATACAAAAATAAAGACCCCTATGAATGCCAACGCAGTGAGGAAAGGAGAGTTGCGCCCTGGCCCAGAAATGCACATTTCTCCTGGTAGCTTCTAAACCTCCAGTACTTAGTGCTTTACCAGAAGATGCATGTCAGCGTAAGCCTAAGTAGCATTTTCTGAAAAACTGTGCACTTTATCCTCTTTCATTCCATCACGAGTACCTTTTCGGTTAAACTTTGTAACCCAGATTTGTGCAGTGCTGTCTGCATTACTTTGAAAAGTGAGATTAATGCGCTTTTATGAAAATTAATGAAGTTATTTTATAGGTTTGATTCTTCCATATCTCTGAAAAGAGTATAGTGACCGGCCCTAGGAAAAAGACAAAAGACACCCCTCCACAGGGAACAGGATTAGCAGAAGTTATAATTTAAATGACTCTATAAAGTATAGAGAGAAAGACCTTTGTTTAAATTCTCATCACATGCTGCTGGAGCAAAAAGGGACTGAGATGAGGAGACCTGCTAATTTTAACTGAATTTTTATCCTGTCATCAGATTTGATTTTATCATTAGTATTAATATTTATTCTTCTTTTTAACATGAATAATTGCATTTAATAAAACAAAAGAATTGCAGGAGTAAAACCACACAAGGATGACGTGTTCACTTACTTGCCATTCTCAGAAGAAAGCAAAAGATTCATTATTTTGGTTTTGATGAAGAAACACACCAGCAATATGATTACATATATGTTTTGGACTTGTCTGTATTCTGATTAGAATTATTAGATATTAGAACTGCCTACCTCAACCTCTGCTCCGAACGGGAAACCATGCCCATCAGGAATCTGAGGGGGAAAGTTCCACAGTCTAATACCCATAGCTAGGAATATTTTCCTATAACTATTTTTAATGTTTAATGTATTTAATCCACTGTCACACACCTTGCAGGAGAAATGTTAGCGTCTACCTCATAAAGTTGTTGTGATGTTGAAATGTGCCAGAGGTTATAAATTGGCATTTAACAGAGGTTAATTATCATTGTTTCTATTCGTCAGAAGCCTGTTACAACCCCTACCAACAGGTCCTGCTGTTCAGGAATCATTTCAACTCCATGGAGATTTCCCCCTCTTGGGAATAAATACTTTCTTTTCTTTTTTTAAAAATATATTTTATTGATTTTTTTTTTTTTTTAAAGTGAGGAAGGGAGAAGGATAAAGAGTTAGAAACATCAATGAGAGAGAAACATCGATCAGTTGCCTCTTGCACACCCCCTACTGGGGATGTGCCCACAACCAAGGTACATGCCCTTGACCGGAATCAACCTGGGACCCTTCAGTCCGCAAGCCCACGCTCTATCCACTGAGCCAAACCAGTTAGGGCGGGAATAAATACTTTCTTGTTTTGTTTTGTTTTTTCTATCTGCATCTGAAGTTCTGTTTTAAGTAGAGTATATATCCCGGAATGTTCATCCAAAAAGGTTCCCAATTTTTCTTCTTTTGCTTTGTATTTTTCTTTCCCCTTCATCCCTCTCTCCCTTCCTTCCTTCCTTCCTTCCTTCCTTCCTTCCTTCCTTCCTTCCTTCCTTCCTTCCTTCCTTCCTTCTTTCCTTCCTATTTCTAATTTTATGTGGAAAATTATCTCTTCCTTGCCCACAGAGAGATTCTTATTTTAATATTATTTTGGCCCAAACAAATAGTTTAAATCCTTCTTTGCTAATTTAGCCAGCTGTTTTCTTCAATTCAGATGAATGCCAACCCTCTTTACAAATTAGTCTGATCACTAAGCCTGTCTCCCAACACACTTTTTTTTTTTTTTACTATAATTCACTCAGTAAGAAACCCCATGTTCTACATTGCAACCTAAGACATACAAATACAGAACTGAACACAAAGTTTCATGAAATAAAACTTATCCTTACTTGCCATATAGCTTGATATATTCTATTTTCTCTTCTATTTCTTTATTTTAAAAAGAGTGCTCGTCACAAGCCACAAACTTCACTCGATGATTTGTATTTAAAAAGAAAATTCACTAGAAAAACCTCCTATAGTCACAGAAGCTAAAACATTTTGGTCAGCACTCTGAAAAGTTATCTTTACTCTA